GCCCCGATACTGGAAGTCCCATTATGGAAGAAGCCGGGCGGCATGTAATGACGTGCTGCCCGGCTTCCCGATTACCTGGGAAGCTGGTCGACGAGTCATTACCCGCCCCCCGGCTTCATGATTAGCCGGGACGTCGGCTCCATGCTCCCTCATCACCAGGTGAAAAGGAAGCACAGAGCCGGCTTTTTGGCCAATCAGGAGGCCGGGGGGGGGAGTGTAATGATTTGCTGCCTGTCTTCCTAGATAGCCAGCTTCCTGACCAACCAGGAAGCCAGGCGGAAAGTCATTACACACCACCCCGGCTTCCTGATAGGCCGGGAAGATGACTCGCTGCTTTCTTCCTACATAGCCAGCTTCCTGACCAACCAGGAAGCCGGGCGGCAAGTCATTACACACAGCCCCGGCTTCCTGATTGGCCAGGAAGATGACTCGCTGCCTGTCGTCCTACATAGCCAGCTTCCTGATCAACCAGGAAGCCGGGCGGCAAGTCATTACACACCGCCCCGGCTTCCTGATTGGCCGGGAAGCTGACTCCATGCTCCCTCGTCACCTAGTATCAAGATAAGTATATGCAGCATACGAGTACTCGCCCACATACTCAGCATCGGCACCGATACTAGTATCGGTAATGGTGCATCCCTATTACAAACAAAGGTTCCAAACTCACACATATTCTAGGGACCCATATGGACAGGAGCCAATTAATGTCCCAGCATGTCTTAACTGCTTGAATTCCGTCGTGTACTGATGAAATCCGAGCTGTGTGTGGCCCGGCAATAAACCCAATTATTTGATCTACCTTTGTCGAAGGAGCCGTGTGGAAGATTGCCAGCCAAACAGTAACTGCAGCCAGTCAGCTGCAATCACTGTTGGGGTGTTCTAACCACTGGCACCCAGTGTGCCACACGGCTCCGTAGACAACAGCCAGCAGGAAACATTCGTCCATCCCATGCTGTTGAGTGAGGATAGAAAAGTCTCTTAGGTTCCTTCCGTTCAGCCTGCAGGATAAACTAAAGAAATGTATAAGTGTGTGGCCAGCTTTAGATTGTGGAAGAAACCAAAGCAAACCCACAGAGAATAGGCAAACTCCATTTAAAAAAAAAGGATGCCGTGGTTAGGTTTCAAACCAATGACCTCAGTGTTACAAGGCAGCAGTGCTAACCACTAAACCACCGAACTGTCCAGAGAGGCAAAGAGAGGCAATGAGAGGCAGTGAGAGGCAAAGAGAGGCAAAGAGAGGCAAAGAGAGGCAATGAGAGGCAAAGAGAGGCAAAGATAGGCAAAGAGAGGCAATGAGAGGCAAAGAGAGGCAATGAGAGGCAAAGAGAGGCAAAGAGAGGCAATGAGAGGCAATGAAATGCAACCTTTGTTACATCCAAGTGCTTCTGATCTCCTGCAACCACTTTCTATCTGCATGGCGTTGTTCAGGGTGGGTTTCTCTACGGCGACAGGTTTCTGATGGAGACTGGAAGCTGCCATTGCCACTCAGATTACACCGGCATGGCCCACTGTCCATGCCTGTGTAATCTGAGAGGAAGTGGCAGCTTCCACTCTCCATCAGAAACCTGGCTGACAATGAAGGAGCACAACTGGGAGACAAGGACAGAGGGTGGTCACTTTATAACAGGGATGGCCGAACTCCGGGCCCTCCAGCTGTGGTGGAACTACGAATCCCATGAGGCTTTGCAAGATTCTCACAGACATGACTCCCGGAGAGAGAGAGAGATGCTTCATGGGATTTGTAGTTTCACCCCACAGCTGGAGGGCCGGAGGTTTGAGACCCCCTGCTTTATAACCAGAAATGTCTGAACATGGACCTTCATGGTAGGGTTACCAGGAAATAAAACTGCAGATTTGTTATTGGAAAATACATTAACATGTTAAGGATGATGTGAGGCTTTAGTGATTGGGGTAATATCTACTTTAAGCAGAATAACGAGGGTCATGTTATAAACCTGCACAAGCAGCGATACCAATGGACCATAGTGACTTGTACCGATGCAGCTACAATGTACAATGGCTGCTAGGGATATGGCAGCACAGTGGCTCAGCGGTTAGCGCTATTGCCTTTCAGCACTGGGGGTCCCCCGGTTCGAGTCCCAGCCAGGTCACTATCTGCATGGAGTTTGCATGTTCTCCCTGTGCTTGCTCCGGGTACTCCAGTTTCCTCCCACACTCCAAAGACATGCTGGTAGTTAATTGGCTCCTCTCTGAGTTGGCCCTGTATGCGTGTGAGATGGGGACCTTAGATTGTAAGCTCCTTGAGGATAGGGACTGATGTGAATGTGCAACTACTGTGTTTCCCCGAAAATAAAACACTGTCTTATATTTTTTGGGGCTCAGAAAAACACACTGGGTCTTATTTTCGGGGTAGATCTTTTTTTTTTTTTTTAGTGTACAACAATCCAAAGTTAACGCAAATCCAAATTAAATCATCCAAAATGGCAAAGTTAAGAATAGGGTGATCAGAGCAATCAGGGGGTTCCGTACCTTTCCAAGAGTAATTTGGTAACCAATCGCTGGGCAGAATGAGCGAAGCGCGCTTTCACTATCATTCCTCACAGAAGGAGTGCATTTGGTATCACTCCGCCAGTGACAGGAGGCGGGGCTATAGAGGAGGCATCGGGTTATGCGGCTCTGCTCCCTCCGCTGCCACCTCGCTTCTTCTAGCGCCGGCTTCGTTGGCACCGCTGTTTCTCTCCCGCGGCTCCTCAAGGTCCCCCCTCATGCCATCACCGGCCCTGAGAATGGTCGCAACTAGGTCTTATTTTCGGGGTAGGTCTTATATTTTAGCGATTCCCAAAAATAGTACTAGGTCTTATTTTCGGGATAGGTCTTTTTTTTCTTCGGGGAAACAGGGGTATGTAAAGTGCTGCGTAAATTGTCAGCTCTATGTAAATACCTGTAATGAATAAAAGACTCCACACAGTCAATGCGCTTCTACATAAGCCTGTAGTATTTACCATCTTCCAGTAGAGTTGCAGCAATTTTGGTGGTCTTGGTTCGACATTCACGGGCCGCGGTGGGTTAACAGACCTTGCCTGCACCGTGCACCATGAATATGTGCTCAGCACCTAAGCCGTGAACAAGTTAAATGGAGCACGGATGATCTGCGTTAACCTACGTGCCTGCGCTACTGCCACCTAGTGTCGGTCATAACTGCTCTGTGCAAGAACAGCAGGATGTCTGTGATACGGCTGCTCCGTCAGCACGGCTGCTGCACACCTACCGGCTGCCGAGTGCATAACAGATGACGTCAACCCCC